TTCAAAGAAGATGGATCCGGAGGATCCGGTGGGTTTGGGTCCGGAGAGGATCCTCCCCCGTGCTTAACAATCTTTCGGAGGGGTTTAAGGTTAGTAGGAATCACATCACCTAGCACAAGGGACTTACCTGTACGTACAACGTACTAAGCCTATTGCATGTAGCATTTTTTATTCATTTTATTTGCAGAATTATAATGTAGCATTCATGTTAATATTTTTGTTGTGTTTTGACAATAAAATATGGAAACTATTATCCAAACACTGAAATTTTCATATAAGTATTTTTATTTTTACTATAAAAGATTTAAAGTTTATAATTAAATTTTTGAGGAATGGATGTATGACATCATTTTTTTGCACAATTTTTTGTGTAAGTTTTTGTGGAGCCCACTCTATAATGTATTTTAACGATTCGAACCATCTATCTTTTAGGTATTCTCTAAAATAATATCTTAATAGTTTTTTATTTGTCTAATACTACGGTTGTTCTACAAAACTTGTGTAAAAAAGGTGATATCACACATCTGCTCACACTTCTAAAATGCCAATAATAATTTCTTAAAATATTTAGAAATTTATGAGGAGCAGAGGTGGAGAATGAATCTTTGGCGAGTGGCTTATCCTATATTTGTACCCACCCCCATATCTTTCACTGTTTGCAACGAGATAGATGTGTGAAAAAAAAGGGTAAAGTACAAAAAACTACCTTAATTATTGTTGTCACGACACTTTCATACCTCATCTTTTTAAAATGACAATGTCATACCTCATCTTACGAATTTGTGTCAATGTCATACCTCCGTCAGTTTTTCTGTTAATTTTTCTGTTAAGTGCTGACGTGGCTAGATACGGGGACCACTCACTAATCCAACTGGATTAAAATATAATTAAATATATATTTTAATGATTAAAAATTAAAAAATTAAAAAAAATATATATTAAATCTCTCTCTCTCTCCCCTATCTCTCTCACCTCTCTCTCTTCTCTGCATCCCCAAAACCCCTTCCCACCCGACCTTCCCCCCGGGACCCCTTCTCACCCGTCCCCCAAGCTTCCTCCACCACCCTCTCTCTCTCTCTCTCCCGTTTCTCTCTTTTCTCTCTCTCTGGATACCCACCTGCATCCCTCAAACCCTTCCCACCCGTCCCCCCCCCAACCTTCCTCCCCTTCCCCCTTTCTTCCCCTCGCTCCCCGTCTTCCCCAGACTCAAAACCAGAACCACCCAACCCAGATCCCACCCAGTTCTCGTCTTCTCCGTCTTCCCCATTCATCTGCTTCACCTTCACACCAGTGGGTATATAAACCCCATCTTCCAAAAACTCCTTCACATTGTAAATCGTAATCAATGTCTGAAACGCACTGGGCACCAAAATTATAGGCACCTTTTCCCCAACTTTACCTCATTTCAAGTGCAATTTGGGCTTCGTATTCGGGTCGTAACCCAATTCATCTCCGAACCCGGTCAAGCCCTTCTCGTCGAAACCCATTAGCCTGCTCTTCACCACTAGCCCGTCTTTCCTCTGCTGTGACTCGATACGTTGTATTTCCTCTTCCCTCTTCTTCGTCGAAGTCAAAACGGCGTAAAAGTTCCTGTCTTTACACTCCAGCAACCCCTCGCGGTCCTTCAACGACCTTTCGCTGGAGCAAATCAAAGACATGTAGTCCACCGGCGTCTCAATTTGAGTGAAAAACCTAGAATCCAAAGCCGCGTAATCGCCGTTGTTGTTGCTGATGTGGTTACCGTAGCTTGCGGAATCAAGGGCGGTAGGGATTTTAGGGTGGTGTATGGCGTTGTTTTGGGGAATGAGGATGAACTTGATGGAGTGGAGTTGGAACTCATCGTTGACCCGGACGATCTTGTCGAGCTCACCGCGGAGATCCAGAGGCATTTCTCGTGGCTCGATGCGGCGTATAATAGGTTGTGGTTGACAGTGAGGCAGGTAATTGAGAGGGAGGGGCGGCAGGTGAGAGAGTGGAGAAGCAGATGTGGGAGACGGAGAGGTTGAGGGGCTCTAGATGGGAGAGTTTTTGGAATGAGAGGTTGCACAGAGAAGATGGGAGCGGGGGGAAGAAAGGGTGAAAGGGATGAAGGTTAGGGGGGACAGGTGGGAAGGGTGAGAAGGTTTTGGGGATGCAGGTGGGTTTCCAGAGAGAGAAGAGAGGTGAGAGAAAGAGGACAGAAAGGGTGGATCCACAATTTTATACAAAAAAATAATTTTATTTTTAATTTTTTAATTTTTAATTATTAAAAATATATTTAATTATATTTTAATCCAATTGGATTAGTGAGTGGTCCCCGTATCTAGCCACGTCAGCACTTAACAGAAAAATTAATAGAAAAACTAACGGATGTATGATATTGGCACAAATATTTAAGATGAGGTATGACATTGTCATTTTAAAAAGATTAGGTATGAAAGTGTTGTGACACCAATAGTTGAGGTAGTTTTTTGTACTTTACCCAAAAAAAAAAAGAGTTTTAAGGAAAAACTTGTGGTACTGTTTATTTTAACGAAAAATCACATTTTTACACTAAAAAGCCACTATTCATTTTAACCTTTATTTTGTCCTTATCATTAAAACTCAAAGTTTTCAAGCCATTTTCATTAGTTTTCAAAAAAATAAAAATAAAAAATGGGAAACACTATCTCTGCAAATATTTTGGAAACACCATCTCTGCAAATATCTCCATTACCACAAGTAGTGTACTTTTAAAAATGAGAAATTAGGTTTACATTCTTTTTTTTACTACTTCATTGATTAAAATCCTATTCATTTTCAGTTTTTGATCAAGGTCCTTGGGTGTTAATAACTCATTAATTATTTGAATAATAAAATATTTTTATTTTTAAATATATTCCTTTAGTGTTAAAAATGTTACAATTAGTATATTTATATTTATGGTTAAAATTTTTATCATATATTTTTATTTTTAGTTTGTACCTATTTTTAATTTTCACCAATTTTGTTTTCATTTTTAATTTGTACCCATATATTAGTTTCTTTTTGTGCCCATATTTTTTAAAGTCTTATTTGTGTTTGTACCCATGTGTATACCGTCACGTGACATTGTATATTTAATCAATGATAGAAAAATTACATATGGTATATTTATGTTTTATGCCTAAACTTCGTATCATATATTTATATTTTTAGTTTGCACCCACTTTTAATTTGAAACATTTTTTTAAATTTCTAGTATTTTATTTTTAGTTTTATTTTGTACCCATATATTATTTTCTTTTAGCGCCTATATTTTTTAAAAATTCATTTGTACTCATAATTTTTTAATCTTTTATCTGTACCCTAATTTATTTATAATGTACCCATTCTTCTTTATTAATGTACCACTTTGTTATATGTGAAATGTACCAATTTTTTTGTAAAATGTACCAATTTTTTAACACTATGGATGCATTCTTTTGCCATTTATTATTTATTATTTTTACATAGTTTTTATCCATTTATTCAATCAAAATGTTTGAATTTTTTTATTGCAACCATTTCTAATAGTTTTATAATGTGAGATTTTAAATTTATAGGATTATAAATCTCATAAAATATCAAACAATTAATGTCAAAATTATAAAAATATAAATATTAATTGTAATATAATGAGGTGTACAAAGTCAAGAGATTTTGGTCAAACGTTGAATACCATTAAGGTTTTAGTCAAAGAATGTTAAGGATTAGGGACCGCATCCAAAGTATCCATTTTAAAAAATTATTTCATGTGGATCTTCTATATCCATTAAACAACATAAACGTTTTAAATGATTTCGCGCGGTTTTAGGGCAAAGTTAAAATTGAAACTAAAATTATTTCAGTTCGGTTCGGTTTTAAGGTAGCAATTGAAATGGAACCAAATCATCTAGTTTTGGTTCGGTTTAGTTTCAAACGGTTGTGGTTTCAGTTTGTGTTTCACTTGTAGGCTCGTTAAAAAAATGACATTAATACAAGTATTCAACAATATCCAAACAAACTCAAAAATTCAAAATCTAGTCATTTACAAACGAAATGATTTATGCCATTAATAATAGGGAGTTTTAACAAAACACTTCCTGACACGCCCCGATCCCGATGTCCTAGGGACAAAGGGATGGTCACGTGCTGCCCGACACCCGAAGGGTGACGAAAGCCATTTATTGAGTGCAAATGCTAACAACAAGGGATAGATAAGACTTATAAATATAAGAGAATAAAGAATATGTATTTAAGGAACGTGTTCAGAGCACACATCTAATCTAGAATATTAAAAGAGTTAATATAAAAATTGAATGAACACAGAAGTGGGTCCTACACCGAGAGGACTCGAAGATACCGATGCGGAAGTGCCTGGATTCCGGGATTGTATGCCTCGATCCTAAATCCTGAAGGGGGCGCAAAACAAACATGAGTGGACCAATTTGATATAAATATAACAAAACAGTTATCAACGTACTAACCCCCAAGTTTTATGAAAACACATATATAATGATAAACATAGGTTTTCCGAAACCTAGCATGATGTGCAGTGTCTCAAATCATAACTTGTATATATAATAATCACTAGTGAATTGTCCGATAACCCCCAGGCCCCATGCCGGCTCCCCGTCTCTGAGCAGACAGTCAGAGGAAAATACACTTCAAGCCCCATGCCGGCTCCCCGTCCCTGTGCTAAATAGCCAGAGGAAACACACTCCAGGCCCTATGCCAACACCAAACCGTCGCCCGGGACGGACCGAAATCTATCCCTACGTCCCGTAGCGGAAAGAACCACTAGGTAAGTACAAAACCATTGAACATACATATATTGAAAAACAACTTCATAGTATAAAGTCATTCATCATCTATACTATAAAGAGGTGTTCGAAACATGTTCTAAATATCATATCGTCATCCATCAGATATTCTATAAGAACACGGGTTATAGGAAAAATAGTAATAATTTAAAGTAGCCTCAATAAGCATGTTATCTCACAAAACGTTTCATAAAACGTAATCATCAAATCATGCTTTTCATGTATGCATTTCTACTATAAAACATGCATTTTAGAAGGGGTCCACTCACAGTACTTAGCCGCCGAAGAGCCATGCAAACTAACGAACAAGAAAACGTCACCAATATTGCCCCTAAGCACATAAAGGGTCCAATTAATAAAACTATATAATAGCAATTGAATTTGGGAAAACGGACTTGGAAACGGATCCATAACGTCGAATTACTCTAAGAAGGGTTTGAATTAAATAAAATAGGGAATTTGGAATTGGACGGGTTTAGGGTTTTAAAGGATTTGGGTTATAAAGGGTTTAGGGTGAAAATGGGTGGTTTGGGCCTAAGCCCAAACACACACACGCACCACACAAACACACACATGCACGGCATGCACATGCATGCAAGCATGCATATACACACACGTACGCATGCACTTAAACACACACACACACACAAACCACAAAGGCCTTAAGGCCTCACACAAGGACCGGGCTTTAAGCCCTTTCACTCAAAACCGGCCCAAGGCCCTTTGGGCTGCTGAAAATAAATAATTAAATAGAATAAAAACGGGCTGGGCTAGGCAGGGAAGGCCCAAAGCCTTGGGTTTTGGTGGGTCGCCGGATCCAATGGGAGAGAAGGCCGGAAATTCGGCCGGAAACCCATCCCACTTTAAACGGCCATAACTTTAACAATACTCAACGAAATCAAGCGAGACAAAAACGAAAGTTATAGCCCTTGAAGAGACGAAGAGAATGGTACCTCACACGACGTCTAACTCGCCGTGGTTTGGCCGGAAAACGCCTCGAAAGCCGTCGGACTCGTCGGAAACTGGGTAAGGTTCAAATGAGTATAACTTTTCCAATACGCAACGAAATTGAGTGAAACAAAAAGGAAAGTTGTACTACTCGACGAGACGAAGAGATTGATACCTTGCACGCCGGCCAACTCGTCTTGGTTGGGCCGGAAATGGCCTCGAAAGGGGAGGTGCTCGCCGGAGCTTACTCCGTGTCGTCGAACTCGCAGGGCAGGGTCCGGGGTTCATTGCGAGCCTCTCTTCGATGGTGACTCGGTCCTAGTGAGTCCAGGGGAAGAGAGAGAGCCGAGAGACAGACAGAAGAAGGAAGAAAAGAAAACAGAAAAGAAGAAGAAGAAAGAAGGGAGTTCACGGGGGAGGGACAGAGAGAGAAGGAAGAGTGACGGGAATGGGGGACACAAAAACAGAAGGTGGGCCCCTTGGGCACACCAATTAAGAATTAAAAACCATTTTTAAATAAAATGGGGGTGAGGTGTTACAATCTACCCCCCTTAAAAGAATTTCGTCCCGAAATTTAAATCACTTGCTAAACTGAAATACTCAAAAATAGTAAGAAGAATATATGTATAAAGAGAAATCAAGTCAAAGTGGGTGCATCAAAGAGAATATGCCACACCGTCTCGAGCGGGTTGCAAAATCCTCTATCATGCCTCTAAACCCTTACTTTCATCCCTATCAGTGTAAAAGTAGAAATATACTTTATAAAAATATTAAGTCGAAAACACATAATAACTTAAGGTCAAAAGTAAGTACATAAAATACGATAACGTCAAAATAGAGATGTAATAACATATAGGTCGAAAACTCGTGCTGAACTTAAAATTGAAAACGAAAAACACTTTCCTCAAAACAATTGAAATGACAAAAACAAATAACTAAAGTAAAGGAAGTTAAAATACTTATACTAAAAACCAAAACTGAAAATGGAAATGGATCTCGCCCAAGAATTCGTAACTTCACGTACTCCGAGAAAAGATGTGTCTTTGGGTCGAGTCCCAAGAATAACGAATCTGTAACAATTGCCGTAGACGGATCTTCCTGCCCACTTGCTTAACGAATCCAACGAATAAGTTATCGATACAACGGTCTGCAGCCCGTGATATCGATCACACATTTGTTGTCTCGATAAGCAAGCAGTAATTTCCTGAGGGTGCACAATTTCACACATCGTAAATTCGATCCTCCGAATACAAGCTCGCACAACTCCTCTATCAACCAATGTTGCATGTAGCAACTCTCGTACCATGCCACAACAAGTGCCATACTCAAACCGAACAAAATAAGAACTGTCGTTGTAAAACTTTATCCATCACCAAGCATCATATCCTCCTCAGTTCTTCCAAATGTGACCAACTACACCAGTGTTTCACCAGTAAAGAACCCATTTGAAAATTGTACCTTGGGATTCAAGAGAAGTGGCTACCATGTTAGTAGTAGACCCAAAAGCTCGAACTAAGCAAGCAGAAAACGAGAAGTCATCTTCCTCAACACGCAGTATCTCTTGGGAACTGTTGTAGTGCTCAATCCACCTCTCCATTTTTGCTTAGTTGCATATTTCTAGTCAACCAAGGTCAAAGTTGGTGGAAAGAAGAACGACTCGCAAATGGTCAACCTAAAAACAAAAGAGAGTACACACATTTCGAGAGAAGTGCAAAGATTATCCGATTTTTGCCTCGACCGTTCTGTAGTGCCATTCCAGAATGCACCAAATAGATTCTCTAGGAGTGTTTTAACAACCACGTACTCATCACAATAAGGTTCAGGAGTGAAGCAATCGAAATATCCGTTGAGACGAACACATAACATCATCAAAAAGGTTTACCAGAGTAAGATATGATGGTTATGAATTGTAGCAAGATAATGAGTGGTGACCATTCAATTCAACATGAAGATAGTGATGCAATCTGCCGATCATCTGCACTGCAATCTTCACCAGTTTCTTACCAACATATAGCTTAAACCTCATACCCACATGGAACTCTTTCTGGTAAGTCTGGTAAGTTTGTCAAAATATTATGCTCCTAACATTCCTATCCAAAAAGATAAAAATTGGGCGCACACTTCCGCCGAATCGATCGATCGTGAATTCCTCATTGATTAAGCGAGAAACCATGTCGAGAAGGCTGAAAGAACACTCAAGAATTTGAGGGTCAAAACAAGTCTTTTTGAAGTACAAGATATTTGGATTTGAACGAGAAACCATGCTGAGAACAAACCTTTTTTTTTTTTTCTTTTTTTTTCCACCCGTCGTGTAATGTTCCGGCATGATCCAGTTTTACTTTGAGAAACAAACAAGCGAAGGAAAATGAAGATGCAGAAATAGAAGTCACTGTTTATGATTATTTGGCTAATCATCACAATAAGGTTGATTGGTTTCTTAGCCAAAAGAAAATAGGTCTAAGCTCAAGAATAGATAAGAACTGTTAATAAGATTTGACGAGGCCAAAGACATTTCGCAATTCACAATACTTTGTGAGAGTTGTTTCAAAGTTCAAAAATTAAACATAGAACCTCTGAATCAACAGAATGACGATGAAGAAAGATACGAAGCAGCCCGCGTATGCATGCAGTGACACGATTGGCTACCTTAAAGTGATGCCTCTAAGCAACCAAAGCTCAATGAGTCCAGAGAAGTTTAGAGTAAAGCTCGATCTTCGTACAATGATGAATATGGTAGAGTCTCAAGCCATTACACTGAAAATTACAAGGCTAAACAGTTAACGGACAAGAGCACTGGTCAGTTGGGCTACAAGCAAGAGGTTAAGTTTACCTCTACTGAAAAGTACGAGGACAAGGGGCATTTTACCACTGAGTACCAGACTCAGGTGAAATTCAAGGAATTTGTTTATCCAAACAAGTTTGGATCTTCATCATCCAAATCCAACTACCACATACTAACCGTCGTCACCACTAGCACTTACTTGCTTCTTCAATATGCATTTTGAAAGTTTCGAGTAATTTCTAAAGAGATACGACTCTGCCCGCCATTCCTAAGGAACGCATGTTGCAGAGTACAACACCGCTTCAGAACTCCAGTTGGTCTTAGTCAATTCGTACTGCTAAGATTTTTCTGTTTCCCAAGATTTTGATGCAAAGCCGACTCCGCCCGCAATTCCTAGGGAACGCATGTTGCAGAGTGGCATCGCCATTTCGAATTTACAGCTGGTCTTGACCAAACTTCCTCAATCTGAGATTTCTAAAACCCGTCGTTCCTAAGTAACACCGACTATGCCCGTCATTCCCAGGGAATGCACGTCGTAGAGTATCGATTTGAAGCTGAAAGTCATCCAACAATTCAAACACGTCACCGATGAGGCACAATCCCGACACGAATTCTTGTATATTCAGCCAGAATGTGACAATTCAAACAGAGAAAGATTCGCATAGCTGCGCCGAATGGCACCAAATCCAGAAGTCCTGACATCCAAATGATGTCAAAACCGACACACAACTTTAGTACAAGAAGATCCTAAGTATGCTTTGAACAAACTAGGCTCTGATACCAATCTGATACGCCCCGATCCCGATGTCCTAGGGACAAAGGGATGGTCACGTGCTGGCCGACACCCGAAGGGTGACGAAAGCCATTTATTGAGTGCAAATGCTGACAACAAGGGATAGATAAGACTTATAAATATAAGAGAATAAAGAATATGTATTTAAGGAACGTGTTCAGAGCACACATCTAATCTAGAATATTAAAAGAGTTAATATAAAAATTGAATGAACACAGAAGTGGGTTCTACACCGAGAGGACTCGAAGATACCGATGCGGAAGTGCCTGGATGCCGGGATTGTATGCCTCGATCCTAAATCCTGAAGGGGGCGCAAAACAAACATGAGTGGACCAATTTGATATAAATATAACAAAACAGTTATCAACGTACTAACCCCCAAGTTTTATGAAAACACATATATAATGATAAACATAGGTTTTCCGAAACCTAGCATGATGTGCAGTGTCTCAAATCATAACTTGTATATATAATAATCACTAGTGAATTGTCCAATAACCCCCAGGCCCCATGCCGGCTCCCCGTCTCTGAGCAGACAATCAGAGGAAAATACACTTCAGGCCCCATGCCGGCTCCCCGTCCCTGTGCTAAATAGCCAGAGGAAACACACTCCAGGCCCTATGCCAACACCAAACCGTCGCCCGGGACGGACCGAAATCTATCCCTACGTCCCGTAGCGGAAAGGACCACTAGATAAGTACAAAACCATTGAACATACATATATTGAAAAACAACTTCATAATATAAAGTCATCCATCATCTATACTATAAAGAGGTGTTCGAAACATGTTCTAAATATCATATCGTCATCCATCAGATATTCTATAAGAACACGGGTTATAGGAAAAATAGTAATAATTTAAAGTAGCCTCAATAAGCATGTTATCTCACAAAACGTTTCATAAAACGTAATCATCAAATCATGTTTTTCATGTATGCATTTCTACTATAAAACATGCATTTTAGAAGGGGTCCACTCACAGTACTTAGCCGCCGAAGAGCCATGCAAACTAACGAACAAGAAAACGTCACCAATATTGCCCCTAAGCACATAAAGGGTCCAATTAATAAAACTATATAATAGCAATTGAATTTGGGAAAACGGACTTGGAAACGGATCCAGAACGTCGAATTACTCTAAGAAGGGTTTGAATTAAATAAAATAGGGAATTTGGAATTGGATGGGTTTAGGGTTTTAAAGGATTTGGGTTATAAAGGGTTTAGGGTGAAAATGGGTGGTTTGGGCCTAAGCCCAAACACACACACACGCACCACACAAACACACACATGCACGGCATGCACATGCATGCAAGCATGCATATACACACACGTACGCATGCACTTAAAAACACACACACACACAAACCACAAAGGCCTTAAGGCCTCACACAAGGACCGGGCTTTAAGCCCTTTCACTCAAAACCGGCCCAAGGCCCTTTGGGCTGCTGAAAATAAATAATTAAATAGAATAAAAACGGGCTGGGCTAGGCAGGGAAGGCCCAAAGCCTTGGGTTTTGGTGGGTCGCCGGATCCAATGGGAGAGAAGGCCGGAAATTCGGCCGGAAACCCATCCCACTTTAAACGGCCATAACTTTAACAATACTCAACGAAATCAAGCGAGACAAAAACGAAAGTTATAGCCCTTGAAGAGAAGAAGAGAATGGTACCTCACACGACGTCTAATTCGCCGTGGTTTGGCCGGAAAACGCCTCGAAAGCCGTCGGACTCGCCGGAAACTGGGTAAGGTTCAAATGAGTATAACGTTTCCAATACTGAACGAAATTGAGTGAAACAAAAAGGAAAGTTGTACTACTCGACGAGACGAAGAGATTGATACCTTGCACGCCGGCCAACTCGTCGTGGTTTGGCCGGAAATGGCCTCGAAAGGGGCGGTGCTCGCCAGAGCTTACTCCGTGTCGTCGAACTCGCAGGGCAGGGTCCGGGGTTCGTTGCGAGCCTCTCTTCGATGGTGACTCGGTCCTAGTGAGTCCAGGGGAAGAGAGAGAGCCGAGAGACAGACAGAAGAAGGAAGAAAAGAAAACAGAAAAGAAGAAGAAGAAAGAAGGGAGTTCACGGGGGAGGGACAGAGAGAGAATGAAGAGTGACGGGAATGGGGGGACACAAAAACAGAAGGTG